CCCCTCCCCCCCCCCCCTCGCCAGACGGCCGCCAAAGCCCCCACAGCGCCGGCGGCAGCGCCGCCCCAAGGACGGCCGGGAGGCCCTGGGAGAAGTTCCAGTGCCAGGGCTGCTCGCCGAAGATCCGGCTCTTTCCCTCCAGCACGTTGAAGCGGAGGAAGTTTAGGGGCACTAGCGTCGCCGTGCCGTAGAGCTTGGAATCGAGATAGAAGGAGGCGCCGACCACGGTCGCCACAGGCGGGAGCACCGTCAGCGCAAGAAAGCGGGGCCAGCGCTTGATCGGCAGCGTCGAGAGGCGGAACATGCCCGTCACCGCCTGGGAGTGGGAGTGGGAAACTGAGAGGCGGGAGGATAGGGCGCAACACTAGAGATAAAACTTGTCAGCCCCTGCTAGTGGAGATACGATACTTCACAATAGATCGAACTTGTCCAGTGGATATAGAGCATGGAAGGGACCGCGCGGTTGGACTAACCGAACGCGCGGTTCGACTAAAAGCTTGCACGAAAATCTAGCTTCTTCCTCCCCCGGCAATCACGGCCCAACCTAACACTCCACGGTAGGCAAATAACCAGCATAAGGTAGGAGTCTTACCCACAGCGCAGCGCTAGTCGGTCGCACGGCGACGCACAGGGCAGCGAGCAACAGGGCACGAGTCTCCCCCCGCGTGCCCATGCTATCCCTCCTCCCGACAGCAGCAGCACCCGAGTCGCGGCTATCACCACCACTTCCATCCCCCCTTGCGTTCTTTCTCGTTGCCGACAGGATATGAGGAGCCCAGTGGAAGAGCGCAGCAGTGGCGAGGACGGCCTCCGCGCTATTGGAGTAGGGCCGCACGAGGCAGTAGAAGTTGAACCAGGACAGCACCTGGAAGAGGAGAGCCCAACCGGCAGCGGCGGCGCCGAACGCGCGCAGCGCGAGCCCGAACGCGCAGTAGTCGCACACCCCGGCCATGACCCCCTGGAGGAGCTTGGGGGAGTGGGCCACCGCCCACCTCGTGTCCAGGCCCTTGGGGTGATCGTAAGAGGTGACGGTGGGGGGAAGGGGACAGCGTTTTCCTATGGTGTCGCACCCGCACGGCGATCGGACAGCCGGCATTTTTGGGCAAAGAAAAAACTACAACTTTAGGAATTTCTGTCCTCACAGTGCGCAACCGGCGACCATACCTGTGTTGAACAACATAGATAATGGTCGCATGCACACCTCTACCGCTATCGCCGTCCTTGTGGCGGGCGTGCTGAAATCTCACCAAGATCTGGAGCGCCTTGTACAAGGCAGCAAAGATGAGAGGGTGGGTAAATCCTCGTATACGGGCGGTCTGTTCCCATTCCCAGGTCCTGCTCGCCATTGGGGGTGAAGGCGGAGCACAAGGGGGGCGCGCGAGGCATACACATGGGTGGCAAGCAGAGAGAGAAAGGAAAAAGTAGAAGCTTGGGGCTCGTCGATTTGAGGGGCGTGTGGAGCATGCGGATCATCTGCATTGCGGCGGTTCATGAGCATATGATGTATGGTATACGTTCGGTGCGATATGCTAGTGATGAAGAAAGAAGTCCCAATTTTAGTGCCACAGCAGACGTGTTGTGGGGAAGACCACAAGACGAGATTTGACGTGCACAACCAGCCAGTCGGGCAAAAGTTTACCACCCGCCAAATCTAACCGTGTATCTGCGCCAAATCCGCGCACTGGCGGTCTCCGTGCACACTAAAGCCGTATCTTCGATCCTTGATCCCACGACAAGTGGATTACTCCGCATCCGAAACTTCTCTCGGTTGGACAAAGTTGACGGCGCTCGAGAACCGCTGTCATTCAAAAGAACCCGTCCGTTCTGCGGCGGAGGCAATGCGAATGCGGTAGTAGTGTAGCACTGCGACGCTGCAGCTGCTGTGCTTACAGATGGCCCGATCCGAAGGCCAGAAGGTGTGCTGGCTCCGGCCCTTGCCAGAACTCATCGGGCGTGAAGGACGTCCGAACCACAAGGGCGTTGAGGACGCGAAACGTTACGAGAACGGCAAGAAGCTTGGCTCCTAGAACAGGCCTGAGCTGTCGACGGTCCCACGCCGCCCCCATAGCTGGCTGGAGAGTGCCGTGGCGGAGCAGTGGGTGCCACCATGCCACCATCCCGGCGACCGGGGCACGTAGGAAGGGCAGGGATGTGTTTTCTAGTGGCTGTCTGCAGAGCCCCCTGTCATGCCTGTGTGTCGACTGACAGACTGTAACCACTGCGCGCACAGCTCCGAGTAGCCGATCCGGAGGCCACACTTGGGGTGTGTACTCTATCACTCAAACCCTCTGTTGGGCCTTAGTCTCTGCAATTTGTGTTCAAGGAGCCGGTTGCTTTCAGGAGCTCGGCCGGGTGTGCGGTTGCGGCTACGCAGCAGACAACAACCAAATCATACACAACAACAGCAGCAAGCAAGAGCAAGCACCATGGTGCGGATGGGGGAGCAGCTTCCCGCCCAGGCGAAGAGCTTCATCTCCACCGCGGTGGACGCGAGCGAGGAGGTGGCCAGCCAGCTGGCCTCCGCCTTCCGCGTCGACGTGGACTCCTCGGACGTGTCCGAGGTGGCGTCGCTGCTGGCGAAGGAGCTCCGCAGGGAGGCCTTCCTCAAGGCCAACGGGGCCAAGTTCGAGAGGGAGCTGCATGAGAAGTACGGCGTGCTGAAGGATGTCATCCTCCACCCGACCGTGCAGGTACAGCATGTTGGTGTTTGGGGCACGATGTGATTGGAGGTGCCGTTTGCGTCCTGTGGACGGTCTCGCGGTCGTTGGTTTGCCACACGTGTCTGTCTCCTGCGACAGCAGCAGCTAGGTGGTATCCGAAGTTTGTGGATGCATACGTTGGTCGACCTGCCCTTGGAGCCGGACGTGCAACGCTGCAGCAGCAGCAGCAGATACGTACGAAAGAGTCATTTCGCGGCTGTGCATAGCTCCTAGATGGTGCGTGTGAAGTGCGACTTGGTTCCATGCTTACTCCACCGTCGACTCCTGGCCCTGTGGATTTCACGCGTGCATGTTGAACGTTGACTCGAAATGAATGTTATGTTGCCGCACACGTAGATGCGGGCTGATTAACAACCCAGTGCGGGTGTGCGGGTAGCTGCTTGTAACCCCGGGAATCTCTGCCTGGGCTACGAGCGCTCGCAAGCTTTTCTTCTCGCGTTCTCGGTGTAAAGCTTGATGGGTCCTGCTGTGCATGTGCGGTGTGTAGCTGGACGACAACCACAAGGCGGGCAGAAAAGAGACCGCTACGTGTCGTACAGCACAGGTCTCGTCCCTCGTCGGTGGTCGCTGTGATCTGCAGCAGCAGCAGCAGCTGAACGGCCACAACTGTAGAGCTCATGGCTCCCTCCCCCCTGCGGGCATACTGTACTCACTTGCTCAGCAAGACACTTTGATTTGTTTTCCCTCATGTTTGGCACTGGTGCTTGCCGATCGGGCTTTCAAGACATGTGCCGTAGTACGGCCGTAGTACTACAATCGTAGTCTGCTGTAGTCCGACCCTTAGTTCAGGGGAGGGGATCGTACGCGTTACAACATGTACGTGTCGACGGTTTATGGCCGGTTCCCGCCGGTAACACGCGGTAGACTACGGTCCCCAGTCATACACACGCGGCAAGGCAAATGTGCTCGCCGAGGAGGTGCTGAGCGAAAACTGCGTCGTGTTGGTGCTGTTCCCTCTGTGCAATCTCTCTGAATCAAGGCGCTATGCCCTGTC